AAGTGAACCCCTGGGGATAAATGACCCACCATGCCAAGGCCACCATGCCATGCCAACTTAGATCACACTACCTAGTCCCCTAAGATCTGTGGAGAGTTTTTATAGTTGCAGTTTTTTTGCCAAATAATCACTACCAAGAGATCCTCTGAACCTTCCTTAAGATAGGTGACATCATTTATGAGGACATGTTACAAACTTCTAGAGCCAGCAGCAACGGATACTATCTTGCATTGACAGAAATATATATATTTAACTAAAAACCTAAAATCCAATTTAAACTAATCTCTGTTCATTTTTCCATCTTCCAATGCAAGGGAATGTCTATTTGAAATGCCATTTTTGTTAGTCCTTCTTTTTGTTCTATCAGACAAAATACCTTTCTTTTAAAAAAAAAAGTTTTAGCAATAGTTTCATCATTTCCAGAATTCTGGCTTACTACAGTTTAATTGTATATAGAACATGTGTTGAGCACTTACTATGAGCCAAGCATTGTTCAGAACATACATGCATTAATTCGTTATCCACAGAATAACTGTATGAAGCCAACACTACTTCTATCCATATTTTGTAGAGGAGGAAATGGAGGCAATGTTAAAGATGACATGACTAGTAAACAGTGGAGCTGAGATTCAAACTCAGGCACCTTGACCTCATAGGCCATATTTGTCATAGCTGCATAGTGCCTAAACATAACCTTCAAAGCTATGAACACTCTTTTTCATGTAAAGTCATTAATCTTTAATTAAAGAATAAAGAGCTAGACAAAGCAACTGTCAAGTTACATATTGATGGGAGCCAGCAATACATCCCACAGATTCTAGGTTATCCCATCCTGTTATTACATATCCTAATACTATCTGATTATGTTCCCCAAGCTGAAAAAGCAAGCCAAGCCAGCTGATTGGTTTTGGGCAACAATTGGGTGCTTTCTGGGGACAGAGAAAGGAAAGATAGCAAATGACACTTGAGTGGGCATATACAAATATGTAACAACAAATCTCACTATTATGCACAACTGTGATGTACCAATTCTAAAATGAGAAAAAAAAATCGAATCAAGTTCTATCTGATGATAAAACACTCAATTGTTTAAGTGGTGGAAAAAATGGCATCCAAATCCATCCAGAGAGACTAAAAGAAGTCCTTACAGCCAGGGGCATCTACAGCACATACTGGGAACTAAGGTGTTAATCCAGATACCTAGCAAAGATGAAAATCATTAGGTGATCTAGACAAATTCTGGAAACGAGAGCAGACGACTGCTGTGGAAATTTTACATTTCCAGTGCAAGGATAGGTTGGATCCTCTTAAAGGAGGCAAAATAATATAAACATACAGGTCATACAATTATATAAAATTCAAAGTTGGTACAAATTCTATAAATATGTATGTAAGCTAAACAATGAAAGTATGTTAGTGTTAAGGTGAAGGGGACCAAAACTACAGGACAAGCAATGCAGGCAGGACCATAAAATTCCAAAGAATCAGTTATAAAATATATTGAGGAAATAAACTTTACAATAAATCAAATGTACATGCAAATAAAATGCAAAACATTAGTTCACACATTGGAGGGTGGAGGTCTTGCCTAGAGCTTGAAGTTAGCCGTTTCAGCAGTAATCTGAAGAAAGGGGAATCTTTCCGATTATTATTATAAGACATTATAACTGAGGAAACCCCTGATTGTCTGCAGAGTAGAAACACTCTCCATCTAGACCATAAAAGCATCAAGAGATTGAAAGGAGCCCCTGAGAGGTGAGTTGTGAAGAGGCTTTCCACATGGGAGCGAGCAGGTAGGAAGAAAGGAATTAAGAAATCCAGGCTAGTGCCTGTCAAAATTGTGTTTGTCAGCTTTCCTTTTCTATACCAAATACCTGAGCAACAGATACTATCTTGCATTGCCAGCAACAGATACTATCAGCATAAACTAAGCGAATAGTTTTATTTGAGATCAGTTTACAGTTCTTGACCAATTGGTTCTGTTGCTTTGGGTCAATGGCAGCGCATCATGGTAACAGTGCACAGCAGAGGAAAACCTGATGTGAGGTCAGGCAAGTGAGGTCAGGGAAAGACCTGAATCCCACCATCCCAGGTCACAGCACCAAGGACCTAAAGACCTCCCACTAGGTCCCACCTCTTAAAAGTCTCACCACCTCCCAATACTGCAAAGCTGAGAACCAATTCTTTTGAGGATACTTATCCAAATTATAGCAAAAGTTATAGAAACTCTTTGGGACTAGAGATTACCTATTCCAGACTGATAATGGTTCTTACTCTGGATAAATCATGTCTCAAATAATAAGCTTTAGATAAGTAAAGTGATACCATACTGTAAAAGTAGTTTTCCTGACCGCGTCTATTTTTTTAGTCCTTTTCATAGGTGGGTAAAAATAACCTCCATCCCTTTCTCCAGCATGATTGGACACTGAGTTTAATGGGTGGCTTGAAGGTTAATTAATGCTTGAAGGTTAATTAATGCTGAAGCAGATGAATCCATAAATACCAGTGACTAATACTATCAAAATGTATTTCTCTCTCAAAAAGAATCTCATGTGATATAGATTGCCTGGTCATCTTTCATTTAATTCCTGTGTTCCTTTATATTTACAATCTTGGGAAAGTTCCAATCTAGACATGAGAATATAAAAGAATTCAACCTGCACTTGTTGAGGGGAGGGGTGGTCTGCACTGTGTTGGCAACAGGAGCAGCAGTAAAAGTGAAAAATAAAAAATAAAAAAACTCAAGGATTGTGGATGCAGAATAACCACCAAGACACCTCAAAGATTAAAGGGTTGTTTTTGTTTGTTTATTTGTTTGTTTGTTTAATTAGATGACTTACAGGGCATCTAGGAGATAATTTTTCTTTCTCCTGTTGTTTCTCATTTTGTTTTTTCTTTGATTTTGACAAAAGAGACTTAAGTAGGCATGAGGTCTAAAGGGGTGGGGGGATTGGTAGAGAACAAGGGAAAAAATGCACAGCGATAAAATATTTATATAATATCATTAAATAGAGCTTTGGAAGAAAGGAGAGAGCATGAGGGACAAATGAGGAGATCAGTTTTTGCTAAGTTTGTATAAAGAAAGATTGAAAGAATAAGGAGATAGATACAAAAAAAAAATACTCCTGTGTAGCTTACCTGGAAGTCAGGTGAGAGTGACCCCCCAGAGTCTGCTGGAGGGTGGGGGGTGGGGTGTGGAACACAGAAAGTTCACACAGCTGCTGGGAAGGGGACCCCAGAGCCCAGTGAATAAGAGGATTTATGCATTTCTTGAAGGGTTAGATTCCTGGAATTTCCAGAAACTCTAATCAGCACAATTTAATGCTGTCTGTAGCAGCAATGCTTGGCAACCTGGCAAGGTTTTGTGAAATTGTTGAAGATGTAGCCCTCCACTAAAGCCAAGTTCATCTCACCATAAGGATTCCACCACATACCGAGTTACTATAATAGGATAAACTGACATCTCAGACCTCACAATTTTAGAAATGACACTAAAGATAGGTTCTCATGAAGATCACAGTTCATTCATCCTGCTTACTTTTATTTCAAAGGAGCCAAGTTGTACCATTTTCAGACGCAGATCTCTAGGGGCTTCCAGATGGAAAAAAAATCTTGGAAATCACATCATTTCAGTCCTTCACCTGTTATGATTTCATTTCTAGAAATCCAAAAAATCCTTGGACACTGGGAGTCCTTAGGCTCTTCTCCATGTCTTGGCCTCCTTTGCAGGACCTGAGACCACATGGCTGAGCTCTGGTTAATTCCATATTGGTGGAAATAATATAAGTCATTCCCAGATCTAGCTCCATCTTAAATGAAGGATAAGCAGCCAATCTACATCACATTGGATTCTTCTTGAGAGATAAATGCATTTTAATTGTATTAGTCACTGATATTTGTGGATTTATCTGCTTCAGCAGCAGTCATTAATTAGTCTTCAAGTCACCTTTTAATAACCTAGCAACTCTATCCAATCACACTAGAAAAAGGGATGGTGATTTTTTTTAACCACATACCCAAAGGATTAAAAAGATAGAAGCATTTATGAAACTGATTTTTACAATATGTTAGCACCTACTTACCAAAACATTATTATTTGAGACATAATTTATAAAGCTAAACCCTCACCCTGCCTGAGAACCAAAAGGTAGAGGTTGCAGTCCAGGTCTGAAAACAATCCAGGCTGAGAGGTAACTAAAACTTCACCAGGCTCTATTTATTTACTCAAGTTGTCTTGGAGTAAATAAGTCAAGCTTAAATATTTGGTTACCTCACACTAGGTAATGGAATACAAGTAGGAAATGGGAAGCAACAGGGAGGGGTGCCTAGAATGGGGCAAAGTAGTACATTCTAACAATGAAGTTCAGATCAGATGAACTCCAAAGGACAACACACCCAAATCAAAAAGCAATGTATACAGCCCCATTGTTATTAAGGATGATTGATGTCTCAGCATCCTGAAACACTCTCAACCCACAAAGGACACTAAAAAGGTAACTTTAAATCGTCAACCAACTTTGTAAGCTTCTAAAGAAGGTAGGAAAATGTGGAAGGAATCTCTGGAGATGGTTACTCAAAACAGTTTCAGTGTTTAAAGACATAATACCCTTGATCATTTGAAAAACTCATTTATGGTAGCCTTAATATGCCATAAAAGGGTGCTCCAAAAAAATGTGAAACAGTGCCTATTGCATGCTAAACGGCTTAGAATTGGGTGGTTCCTCCCAAACTGATGTGGGTGCACACACTAACATGAAGAAAACTGGGTTTCCATCAAGATTCAAATGCCCGTTAGGACCTTAGAGATCATACAGCCATGACTCTGGTAGAAAGAGTCAGTGATCAAAAGGCATACATTCATCTCCTGTAGAGAGGGATCTACAGCCTATATGGTCCAGGATACAATCATATCACAGTTCCCTAGGCAGACTCGCACCCTCTCCATCCCCTACCCCGCCGAAGGACCCCCAAGTTGACCTGCAGGCCTATTGTCCACTCACCTGCAGAAAGCAGTGTCCAACTGGGGCATGCTCTGCAAGGGTGACATTATACACCTGCCTCCGGAAGATGGGCTCGTTATCATTCACGTCATCCACAGTGATGGTCACCAGACAGGTAGCAGAGAGTGGGGGCTCTCCAAGGTCCTGGGCCACTACTCTCAGCTCTACAGTCTCCTGGGTCTCTCGGTCTAGAGTTCGTATAGTGCTGATCACACCGCTTTCTGGATTGATGGTGAATGAAGGCTCGCATTCTGCGCTGGGCGGCAGGGCCTCTGGGTTGCAGGGAGCCAAGAGTTGGACCAGCGCATAGCGCAGCAGGGAGTGATCAGTGCCAGCCTCATCCTCATCGGAGGCGCTGACCCATACTACTGCAGTGCCCGGGGCTGCAGCCTCGGACACAGAGGCCTGGTAATGCTCCTGGGTGAAGTGAGGCGGCTGGTCATTGAGGTCAGCGACCCAGAGCAGCAGAGTCTCCACCATGCTCAACGGAGGAGACCCCGCATCAGTGGCCACTAGTCGCAACTCATACAGATCACGGCTTTCCCTGTCCAGGGGCCCCTCAACGCAAAGGAAAAATACTCCTGGAGGTCCACCTGGCTGCAGCGCAAAGGCTCCCTCCCCACCCTCTAAGGACAGCGAGATGCTCCCTCCCCCAAGGCCCACTCCAAGCTCCCCGGTGGCATCCTCTTCCTTTTCAGGGTCACCATCTGCATCGGACACGGAGACGCGAGCCACGTAATCGCCAGGTCCAGCACCCTCAGAGACACGGGCCGCGCCTCCCTCAGTAAGGAACAACAGGTGAATAGTGGGCGGGTTGTCATTCACGTCCAGTATCGCGATGGACACGCGCACCGTGGCGATCTCAGGCTCTGCGCCTCCGTCTCGAGCCTCGACCACCAGCTGGTGCCAGGCCTGCGTCTCGCGGTCTAGAGGTCTCCGCACCCTCACCACGCCGCTCAGCTCCTCCACAGTGAAGTAGGCCGCATCGCCTACTGGTTCGCTACCTCCACCGGTCCCGGGCACTTGCCGGGCGCGGACGCTGTAGTGCACTTGGCCATTAGGTCCCAGGTCTCGGTCTGTGGCGCGCACACGACACACCTCAGCGCCCGGCTGGGCGTCCTCCCGTACTACAGCGCGGTACTCGCCCTGCTCAAAAACTGGCGGGTTGTCGTTCTCATCCAGTACGCGCAGTTCCACGCGCAGGCGACCCGTGCGTCGTGGGATGCCACCGTCCCATGCTTCAATCCACAGCTCGTGTGCCTCCAGCTCCTCGCGGTCCAAGCGCCGCAGCAGCACCAAGTCTAGGGGTTCCAGGGGCAGCGATGGTGGTGGCCCCGGAGTCCCATAGCGCAACTGGAAGAATGGTCCTGCGGGGTTCTTAGGCAAGTCGGACGATTGCACCAAGGTGTAACCCTGTGTGCTGAACAACCCGGCGTCTGGGTCGTGGGCACCTGGCAGGCGGATGGCAGTACCTGGTGGGCTGAGCTCGGATACGTTGAGTTGCAACGAGTCCCGGGGAAAACGGGGCGAGTGGTCATTCACGTCATTGACTCGGATCTCCACCTGCACCACAGCGCCCAGCAGAGTGGCAGCTACAAAGCTGTAGTGGTCCCGCTGTTCGCGGTCCAGGCACCGGGCTGTGCGGATAATGCCGGTGTCGGGGTGCACGTGGAAGTCGTCCAGCAGCGGAGAGTCATCAGAGTCCTCCGACAGAAAGAAACCGCCCCCCTCCTGCTGCTGCGCGGCTGGCAGCCCGGCCCGAATGTCACCGACCAGTGTGTCCGGCGGAAGCCCCTCGTCCACGGAAAGGCTGAGGTTAAATACCTGGGCAGATGAGCCCGAGGACGCCCACAACCACGCGTGCACCAAGAGGCCGAACAGGGAGCGCTGCGCCCTGGCGCGGCTGCCACCGCCCGGCATCCCTCGGGGTGACCCTCTCCTCCCGCGGAGCGGTAGGCGCTCCCAGACGGGAACTCCCCGCTGCTGACGCCCTTCTCCCATCTTTCTCCCAGAAGGGCTCATTCTCCGCGACCTCCTCGAGAAGGCACCGGATAACTGCCAGCTTGTGGCGGGATCGCGGAAAAATCCAGGAGCTTCTTTCAGTGTCTGAGCTAAAGAAGAAAACACTTTCGCAAACAAACCAACAGACCCAGGAGTTCCCGGGGTTACATCAGCAACTGGTGCAAACGTCCTCTGCCTGCAGCACACACAGATGGGAAAGCTGTAGCTGGTTCTGCCGCTGCAGCCACCTCTTCAGCCCCTGGATTTCTTTAAACGAGTCTCATCTCTTTTTCTCTCTCCTTTTATTCATTTTACATCTGTTCCTTGTTCTGCTCGGCTGGTTGTTTCCCCCTGGTAAAGTCAGGTGCATTATTTCCTTTGCCAAAAAGGAGGAATTTATTTAAAGCGCGCACGCACGGAGAGGATGGGGATCGGGCTGGGAAGGGGGTGGAGTAAGGGCGGGGAGGCCTGGAGTGAGGGCGCGGGGCGGGAGGGAAGGAGGGAGGGGCGGGCCGGCTGCGGCCCTGTTGGCTGCTCCGGGGGCGGTCGCTCATCGCAGCGTCTCAGGACGCGAAGGACCACGCAGCTCCCCCTTGGATCCGGCTTCTGCCGCCTCACTCCCCTCCCAGCGCGTGACGCGGCGCCCAAGAGGGCGAACTCCAACCTGCGAGCCCAGGCTCTGCAGCAGGACCGAGGAGGACGAAATGGGAAAGAACCAGGAGATTTGCACAGTGGGACCGGCGGGTCGGGGACACGCAGGCGGGGTGTCTGCCGAGGTTTTGCGTGCCAAGTGCTGTGGGTGTGGAGAGGTGAAGCGAGCATCTTCTCCACGCCTCTCCCTTCAGTCGTCTTGACTGTCCCTCCATCAGGCCTGACGCCTGGCTCCGGATGAGCAAAGGTGGGGATTATAATCACTTTAGGGCGCCAAACTTGTATTTTCCGTTTGGCAGGAAAGACTCGTCCCCAGCAGAAGGACAGATGGAGTCAAAGGCCGATGCACAGCTGGATCCAGGATGCCTGCAAAGGGGGTGAAGGAGGAACTTGAAAAACCTTCGAGAAAACCCGATAAATATGTGACACACATGGTGTGAACCACGCTGTATTATGCCGCGCTACTATTCAGCGACATGTGAGCGTCTTGTCACTCCCCTCTGCCACCAGGAGTGACAATAGATTCGGTTTGTGAATCTTGTTTATGTATTCAGCGCCATCATAATACACGCAGGATGTCTTATGACGCTGATTAATGGGCAGAAAGACCGGTGGCTGAGGCCTCCCCACCTCCTCCACCACCCCTAAGCAAGGAAGTTCGCAGGGAAGGCCACTTACTGAAACCACTTTCAAAACCAGCTTCTGGCTGAGCCAGAAGTAAATGCCAGTCAATCTCCATCGTCTCAGGCTGCCTTTCAGTTATCCATAATAATCGGTTGAAATTGATGAATGGCCTCTAATAAAGTATGCTCCGAGGAAGAAGTCTCTGCCCTCTTAAGAATGGCCGACCGTATTTAGCGAATGGTTTCTGCAATTTTGCATCTCGGCCAGAGGGAAGAATTATTTACCTAGATACTGTTCTGTCCTTTAGGGAGGACCAAAAGCTTTGCATAGTGGTTCATTATAGCACCAGTAAATTGCCTTTTTATATTCAGTGGCATATATACATTGTTAATCCACAGCCATGCCATCTTCTTTACCTCTGACAAAAATAGTAAAACAATTTACATTCTAGCAGTTATGTTGCATGCAAGTGAAGACATTATTAAAATAAGTTCAGCTTCCTTTTACCAATGAAATCTCCGTACCTATTAATTTTGGTATGAATCTTTGGGGTCTTCTTTCTCCTCATCCTCTGCCATCTCACGGAATCCTTCCTACCTCCACTCTGGCCCCTTTAAAGTAGTTCTCCACCAAGCATCTAAATTGAAGGTACCTCAAGTCATTTTACCTCCAGTTAAGAACCTGCAATATAATTCCATTATATTTGGTTTATAATTTGGTTTATAATTTGGCTTATAATTCCTTCCTAAGTTATGAGACTGTACCCACCTTACTGTACTCCTTCCACACCACCTCTCTAGAGTAGCAATACTGCCTTCTGTGTGATCTTGATGTCTTTGAATTGTTAAAGCTTTCTTTCCCTAGTTATTTTTTTCTCCTTTGCAAAGATCTGGATTTTTTTTTTTTCCACTCAGGTCTCAACTCAGATGCCAAATGTTTAGAGGGTTCTGTTCTGATCACCCTACTTCAAGGAGCCCCTCCTCCATAAACTATATAGCCTCACATCCTATTTTATTCAGTGTCTATCAGTTCCTAAAATCAACTTGTTTTACTCATCTATTTATTAGAGTATTACAATCTTACCCTCTCTATGTACTTGAAACACTGCTTTATCCCAGCACCTGTAACAATACTTTAGCACATAATAGGTCTCTGTTCATTAAATATGTATTAGATGACAGTTGGTTGAACCAATGATATGTGGATGAATGTGTCTGTTAAAGTAGCAATTTGAAGCCATAACTAAGAATTAACTGTGAATTCTATCTTTGTGACCTTTTCATTTTAATCATCCTATGTGGTTTCTTGAACTTATCTTTGAGCTTCTTCAACTTATAGTATAAACTGTACTGTTATCCAATATTGTTTAAACATAAAAGAAAAGCAGGATTTTTTTCTCTCTCTCTTTCCCAGACACATTCTTTGTAAATAGTGGTTTAGTTTAGAAACAAATGGAAAGTGAGGTGTTTCAAACATCTGTTTTTCCATTGGTTCTTTAGCTTTGTAATACTAGTGTGCCATTTAAGGTTTCCTGCTCACTTTACAATGCACTTCATTGAATGTCCTGTGTAATATCCTAGAATTGATAACTTTATGTTGTATAGCAAAATAAATAAATGCATTTCTCAAATGTGTGAAAAATAAATTTTGGTAATACAGCACCAACAGCCTACAAGAAATAGGTCAAGGTCTGACCCTTTTGAAAGAAGCACAACCATGTAATGGCAACCCTCATTATGTGCTATAATTTGGAACCAGTAACTTAAATCTTATCAAGCTTCTATTTCCTTCTTTAAATTTGGGGGGATTTATCTAATTTACAAGTATGTTGTGAGCCCTAAATGAAACTGTGCATGTGAGTCGGCAATAGAAAACATCCAGTAAATATTATTGCTCCTGCTTTCTTTTATTGGTGTGGTGAAAATGTTTTAGGGGTAAATTATTTTGGGATTCTCAGTAATATCAAATTCTCACTTTTTAGCCTGCAGAGCATATGAAGCAGGAATCATGAACAGAATCATGAATAGAAACTCATGGACAGAAAGACTCAGGGCAGATTTTTCCCTTGGTGTTATATGATTTCAGTGATACAGGAAGTCCCTCTTCAAAATAATTTTCTCTTAGAATGTAGATAGTGCTCAGATTTGTAAGAGTCAACTGACATAGTTACCAAGCACTCAAAGCAGTATTCAAAGCACCTCATCTCCCCTGTAACAATTATCCCCCATCTTGCAGATAAGGAAGCTGAGGTTCAGAGACATGGGAAGTAATATGACCAAAGTCACATAGATAGTAAGTGATAGAATGGAACTTTAACCTAGAAAGTTTTGCTTCAGTGTCCATGGTTTTCACTGGTCATTTTTTTTTTTTTTGCCCTCTCCACTGGTCATTCATCATCTCTGTGATTTTCTTTAAGCTGGTTGTCTTCAGAATTCTAAAGTGATATAATAAGTTGGGGAAAAACTTGGGAGAATTGCAGGAAGAGTAGCTCGGACAGACAGGACATTTGTGGGATTAGTGGGGAAGCACAGGAGAAGAGCTACAGGAAGTGGAGTGCAACAAAAAGAAATCAACTATTTAGCCAGGAACAGGGGCACACACCTGTAATCCCAGGGGCTCTGGAGGCTGAGGCAGGAGGATCTCGAGTTCAAAGCCAGCCTCATCAAAAACAAGGTGCTAAGCAACTCCGTGAGACCCTGTCTCTAAATAAAATACAAAATAGGGCTGGGCATGTGGCTCAGTGGTCTAGTGCCCCTAAGTTCAATCTTCAGTAACCCCCAACCTCCCGCCAAAAAAAGAAATCAACTATTTAGAAATTATATTCAAAATCAAGTGAGGAGAATCCTGTGAAACACAAAGAATTTATTCCCATCTTCTCCTCAGGGGGAGGCCCCCTGAGGATTAGGAAGGGTGCTGTACAGTGGGGACCCCTCTTACCCATTGAGGCTCATGTGTCATCTTTCTGGAAAAATTTGACCCAAAGAGTGTTGAGAGTTTGAGACGGTTACATTTTATGTGTCAGGTTGTCTAGGCAATGGTACCCAGTAGTTCAGTCAAATACCAGTCTAGATATTACTGTGAAGATATATTTTTAGATGGGATTAACATCTGCAACCAGTATACTTAATGTCAAGGAGATTGTCCTCCATAATGTGGGTGGGCATCATTAATCAGTTGAAGGTCTTAGAAGCCAAAATGGAGATTTCTTGCAAAAGAAAACATTCTGCTTCTAGACTATAATATAGAAATTCTGCCTGAGTATCCAGTGTGCTCAACTGCTTGTGAGCCTTCTGTCGCTCTAACAAAATGCCTGAGAAAAGGTATATTTGGCTCACAGTTTTAGAGGTTTCAGTTTATGACTAGTTGATCTCATTGCTTGGAGCAAGACAATACATCATGCAGGTAGCACATAACAGAAGAAAATGGTTGACCTTATGGCTGGGAAGCAAAAGGGAGGAAGAAGAAATAATGAGAGTCACATGATCTCCTTCAAAGACTTGTCCACAATGTCCTTGAAGATCTCCCACCAGGCCCTATCTCAAAAGTTTTCCCACCTCCCAATAGTGTCACCCTGGGAATGAAGTATTCAATACATAGGCCTTTGAGGGACTTTTCAGATCCAAATTATAATACTATCCTATAGATTTTATTTCGTGAATCCCTAAAATTGTATGAGTAAATTACTTAAGTAAGTAAATAGTATATATGATAGAATAATTTGTATTTCTCTGGTGACTCCTAACACA